AAAATCTAAAGAATATTCAAAAATTATACTGAACATGGGAAAAAGACGCCGGAAACGTTTACAAATACATCCACAGCCGGACATCTCATTTCTGAAAAAATCTGGCAGACGACATTAGTACGACGTCGATAACTACATAATTATACTAGCACGTGATTATGTCTAAGAAATCGTGAAGAGATCGCGCCAGCAAGCGCCTCATCGTCGTTGTTACCATGGCAATCGCATGGCCGCAACAATGTCACAGTGACCCCGATGACAATAACACCGAAAATTGCCGAGCAATAAAAATTAACGGAGAACAAAAAAAAAGCAGTTTGTGACGTCGATTCCAATGGAACAACCCATATTTCATTACAATGGCAACAATCCCATTCATAAGTCATTTGCCAATTATCTGCACTTCTCATCACGAGTCACCGCCTAGCACCATCTCCAGCCCCATTTGTCTAACAATCAGACACTCTCCGATGACCGACAGCAACGGATCTTTCCTGATTCTGAAGAAGCAAACCAATCGTTCAGACGTCTGTTCAAAACAAACTCTTCAGTTTAATCGTACTAAAAAAGTGAAAGAGTTGATACTGCGTCATGAATGCCACTCCATTAAGCGTTGTAGAGATTATTGAATACATATCTGACCTATTCAATTACTTGTGGTGGCCTATTATGTATTAAGTCAGTGAGATTACTCTCCCAGACAAGTCTGGTACCAACCTGCCGAATCTGGAAGGATGGTAAGATCGGCACGAGGCGCGAGATCGAACCGAAGACCACGCATGTATTGTACGGCACCTCTAACCATTGCCCTATACGTGCCCATCACGACTCGTAAAGAACAACTTAAAATACTCAATATATGAATGACATCCACTAGATTATTCCTTAATACTAGGATATTTTGAATGAATTTGGTTTCGATGAAGGTCCCACCTTTACAAAAAAAAAACCATTGGTAGAATAGTAAAGCGGTTTAACGGGACGGATAGCACAGTGATAGTGATGTTCGTCATCGCGAGTATGGTGCTAGTTCGATTCTGCTCCGGACCAACCAGGCCTCTCATCCCTCCGGGGTCGGGAAATTGGTACCGGACATGTCTGGGGAAAAATCACTCTCCTCAATCCAATTGGGAACGCTCCAGCCCGGCTATCCCAGAACTCCAGGGAGAATTGCTCGATCAGCATTCTACGACATTTAAGATGAAATGAAAACCCTCAAACAGCAACTGAAGCCACACGTAAAGTTGGAAGATCTTCGTAGACAATAGATGCGAGGAAACGACAAAATAAGCGGTTTAAGAACATGACACCGTAAGAGCACAAAAGACAGCTCTGTGTCACTTCCAATAACTTAGGAAAGGCCTTTGACAAAGTCAAAACAGAAGTGGTCACGGAAGTTCTGGCCAACCAAACCGTGCTCACTTAGCATACACAGATTCTTAGTAATCTATATAAAATTTCGAAACGAAAATAACACAATTTAATAAAGACACTAACATGGACCTAAGGAGAGAGATTCGATAAGGTGGTACCGTCTCGCCAACATACAGTCTTCGCCATGCGAAAATTCCATGGGGCGGCATGAGAGTGAGAGTCGATTGTAGGTAATTGCATTACCTCTCTTTAGCTGTTGATATCGTTCCTATAGAGCGCGTGTGGCGCACTGGTCGGAAGCGACCTGCAACACACAAGTGGAATCGATCCCTGAAACAATGCTTGATGAAGCCGAATGCATGGCGTATCCCTCAGGGACTGACCAGCACCGAGAGCTTTATCCTTTAATTATCGTTCCTATAAGACTAAGCACTGGCCAGTTGGAGCGAATGCTGGCCAAGTTTGACAACGATTCACGTTAAATTATGTAGACACCTCCGAGTGATACAGCTATATGTCTCTGAATCCATAGTTCAGCAAGATGAACAGAGCAGCTCGGGAACTAAGTAGAAGGAAGCGATCGCTTTAGGGAGTTTTCAAGAGCATCCAGAATAGAGCGAGAGGACTAAGAACGTTTGACCTTGTCTAAACCAGATTCAGTGTCTAGGACATAAGACCCAGTAATCGATCGCCGGCCGTTGCTCTACTGTAGATAATATAGATGATTGCTTTATCATCTGCTTCAGCCAAGAGGAAACTGTGACAAATGTTTTGAGCAACTGAACGAGCAGTCAGAGTACATTAAGCTCACCTGAAGGAAAGTAGAAAAAAAATTGGCGCCATTTTTGAACTCTCAAATCAAACTATTCGAGAATATCTACGTCACGAAGTGGTAGCGAAAGCGAAGTAGTAAAAACATACTGGTTCATTATCTCTCCTCTCACCCCTCACACAAAAAAGGCCTCTTGTAAGAAACATGTTTCGAACAACCACCAGTGTGTGCACAGGAAGGGAACAGAAGAAGGAATCCCGGAAATCGGCGTGGCAAATAGCCATTTCGAATGGGTACGAAACTGGAACTCCTTGAGATAGGTGTAGAGGAAAACCTAAGCCACCAAACGACACCTCTAGTGATAATAAGGTCCCATTTATCCTTCCGTTCATTTCAAACGAAATAAGCAGAGCTATAAAACATTGCTCAAAAAGGGCCGGTCTGGAGAAATCGGTAGGATTGATTGGATTACAACCGAACACTCCCATGCGCCAGCTAGTCGTAACCGTTTGTACGACCGTCCGGGCACAACGCAAAATTGCACAATGTCCTCTAACGATGGAGACGATGACTGAACGAGTTCTGGTACGGTGTACCTAGTGTGTGGGGACGAATACATTGACGAAACGGGTAGACCACTCTCTATCCGTCCAAAAGGAACGCCTAGGCGGTAGGGTTGAGCTAAATACTCCACTAGGCGCGCTTAAGAGATAGAGAGACATAAGGGGAAAGATTTTGATGTGAAAGTCACTATGCTCGCACAGGAATCCAAAACGTCAGCGCGTAAAATCCTCGATGTACGCTGGGTAAATCCTGTGGATCCAAAAATGAACCGCTAGAAGGAATGTCTTGTTATCACGCGAGATGTCGCACGACATTTAAGAGTGATGTTTTAAAGTAAAAGTTGCTCATTACCCTTCCATGGTAGCTCTTTACGGTTGGTCTCCATGTGGAATATTCAGTGGAAGACTCATAGAGAGCATTGAGTGTGTGGACAAACTGCTTTATATGTGATGCTATTGAAGATTAGATATCGTGGTCCTTCTGTTGAAGTTATGGAAGAGTTCGACTGACCAGGTTGCGGTTAACCTTTCTCGGCTCTGAAGATGGCAAAATCCGCCGAAACATAACTTGTTGTAAATAAATTATATGTAAAAGTAACTTCGTGCAATATGATGCTAGGAGTACCCCGTATTATGCAAGTGCGGAAAGGAATCCAAAGCTCCAACCTACGTCAGCGATCAAAAACCAAAAACGATTTTCTACACGTCAAACTGTCGAAGATATGGCGGGTGGGCCAGGCACGTAGTGCAGATGAACGATAACCGATTGACAATAGCTGCAATTGGATTTCGCGAGATGTCAAACGAACAGCAACAAGACTCCCAATCCTGTGGTCAGAGTTCCTCACGAAGATCCTAAATGAGAGGCATGGTGCCAGTTAGTCTCTAAATAGAAAAACAGCACACACGATAAACCACTTTTGCACGGGATTACGACAAATGTAGATTTTACCTACACCATCGCGAGTTACTCGGTGAGTGGGAGGACTGGTGATACATGTGACCTCAGCACCTATTGATGGGCACCGAATATAGGCTTGTAGGACTATTGTAGAGAATTCTATGCCTAAGTGGTAGCACGTACTAAACAAACTATCGACTGACCACAAAACATGAGGTAGGACATATCTGTGAGGCAAAATAAACCTTTGGGAAGAAAATGCAATGCATCCAATGCACTTTGAATGCACTCCGTCCCACTGTACACGAATGCATTGCACACAATGCATATCCGGGTTCTCCATCAGAAAAAACAAACAACCACGCATACCGTTATGTCAACAGACCGGTCATTTTGTTGTACATAAGAATAGCAAAATGTTTATTCATATATTTGACATAAAAAAGTTATCGACCTGCGCTTAAGGTAAGTAAAGGTCAGTGTACAAGAAAAAGGTAAATAATGGAACTTCTGACATAGACAACGCCAACTGTATCACAATTAAACGAACCGCATTAAAATAGTGTCGACTCATTTAGGGTTACTATAATCATTTACATTGCTTGGTATAGCATTTTGTTGCTTACTTCTCAGAATCGCAGTAGGTCCAGTCGTCATCTGAAACAAATCTTAGCGTACCCAAAAAATCGATTCCTGAAAATCGATAGAGCAGGCATTAGCACGGAATAAAATCCGCTGATTACGATAATATCAATATCACCAACTATCCACCTTATCGATGCTTTCTTGTCTTCTTTACAACACTTTTGCAAACAATGTTAAGCTACGGGTCCAGCCACTTGATTCATGTTGCAACCAGTCCCATTGCTTTCTCTTTTTTCAAATTTCAGAATAAAATCACTCAACGTCACCCTTCTTAGTTAATACAGCATAGTAATACCCCAAGACTTCGACCCTAAAACTTGATTTTTCTATTGACTACTCTGTTAAAGTTTACTGTAACTCACGTAAGTACATCTATGAAAAGCGCACTATGTTCCAGTTATTGCATATCATTATATAAAAATAATTGACGTCTCATAAAAAGTATTAGGGACGAATGTAACGCAGTGGTCGTAGGCGCCCTGCAATACACATAGGATCGATACCTGCGTCCCTGGCTCACCAAACCCTCCGACCCTCCGGGGTCGGCAAACTGGTACCACCAGACTTGTCTAGGACGATAGTACTGCTGGCTCGATGCATCGGTAAGCTACCGCAAATCATTTTAGAGGCTAGATATGCATACAACGATGCTTATTGAAGTCGAATGCATGGCACATCCCTCAGGGATTGATCAACGCCGAGAGCTCTATCCGAGAACTTTTTTATTATAAGTATTAAAGATAACTCACTGTCTTCCGTTCCTTCCTGAATACAAAAAGAAAGTCATGAAATGATTCTCACTAACCTTCTTTCCTCCTTTTCCAAACAATTTGGTGGTGCACGGCGACAGCTGCGCATCAGATGGTGAGCTCAGGTGAAGTTCCTGCATAAAATAACGACGGGTACGGACGGCGACCGGAGTTTCCTTCTTCGCAGCAGCAACAGCCTTTGAAAAAACAGTTTCTTTACAACAATAAAGGATAAATTTAACGTGCAAAATTAAATTTATAGTGCAGTCATACACGCACGAAAAATCCGTACCCGCTTTTCAGCGCTATCGTGCTCCGTCTGTTCCTTATCGACAGATGCAGGTTTGTTAGCGATAGGAGAGACAAACCTCTGATTATCAGTGGAATTAGTACTCATCTCCTGAAGAAGTTTAACTGAGAACCGAAGATCCAGATAAGACCTATACAGAGTAGATTACATTTGACGAAAACGACACAGCACCGTAAACTTTACATCGTACGAAAACCGCACACTTTCGGAAAGTTTTGACATGGTCGCCATTTTTTCATATCAATTGGTTTGAACAAAACAACTAGTCAGAACCTAACGATTCCCAATGAGGACTTATCTCGACTAGTTACAATGGAATTTGCAAAGTTATATCAACCGCACACATATGAGAGATTTCCTTAAATCACATGAATGAAGTCCAGCTAGAAGACCACACTGATACGTTAGGTTAGATTCATCGGAAAAGAAACCACACAAAACAAGAGCTCACTGTGAGCGAAGCCAAGAATCCGGTTGGGCATTTATAGGTAACGTGCAATAATTTGAATTTGCCGAATTCCCGCCTAAACGGAATGGTCAACTGGAGCGCCGAAAACGGGCGCTTACACGCTTCTATGACGGTACCGTTCGGCCTAGATAAGATAGCAGTCCTAGTAGTAAGTTCATACCAATGTATCTGTTACTGATATGATATTTCCTAGCATAGGGACAAATAATTTCCATTCTTCAAGCTCTGTACTTCGTCTTCTTCAGAGCATGGTAGCGGAATATGTGTTGTAGGGTCATTCTCCACAGGACCACTTCAAGTGAAAAACTCGACAAATTTAAGGATAGCACATTTCATAAACACACGGCGTTTCCGTCAACTACAAAGGGCAAATAGCGCAGTGGTAGTTATCACGAGCACAGTGCTATCTCAGCATCTCAGCACTTCAGGAAGAATCAACTCGACTAGCACTCAACGACATTCAAGATGAAATGAAAATCTTCGACCAGCAACCGAAGCCACACATAAAATTGGAAGACCTTCGTGGACGATGGAGGCGAGGGAACTAATTAGATGTGAGAAGTGCTGAAATCGGCACAGTAGATGTAAAGGACGGGTCGTATAAGATGAATTATGTCGCCAAATTTATTATGAATTGAAGTACTACGTAAAGTACAACCACAAGGATGCTGAGATATGGACAAAACTCAGAACACCAGGTACGCTTCGAAGCTTCGATTACCGTTTCCGAGGGCTCACGTGTTATCCACTGCACTCACCAACCCAGGCTCGTGTTTTTTCTTTCTCTCACCCAGTCTCTCACATATTCTAGAGAAAGCGATGTCTATTGAAGCATTAGCTATTGTAAATTATATAAAGCATAAAAAGGATATTGTTCTCGGTGTTGATCAATCCCTAAGGGATGCAATGCATTCGACTTCATTTAGCACCGTTAGATGTAATTGAATGCACATATGACCTTTACAGCGACTCGCAGTGGCCTACTGATGTATCAAGCCAGTGCTTCTATCCTCCGAGATAAGTTTGGCTCCAATTTGCCGACCCCTAATGAATGCAGGGTTTGGCGGGCCTGGGGTGCGGGGACCAATCCCAATCGTAAAGCAGTGTCTCCGACCGCTGCGCTACACTTGTCCATGTGAACTATATACGGTGTCAATAACTTAGAATCGGCCCATCAGCGATATTTCATAGGTATACATCAACTTATTGATAACTGTCTTGATAGAAAGTTTATATTTGAAACCGAAGAAAAATTAGAGGAAAATGGTCATAAATCTAAAGAAAAATAATTCAGACGTTCAGAAACAAAGTACTAGAGCGATCAGTCTAAAACATGCGCCTCTCAACTGGTCAGGTGGATTGCGTTTGATCTGAAATTATACATAGGAGCTACTTTATAGGCATGGAATAGGCTATCCCATCATGAGGCTTATACAGTACTATCTCTAGTAATGTATCACACAGCACAAGTCGAAAGTACTTTTTCGTGAATCCACACTGTCATATAAATGACGTCTGTTCTACGATAAACGGCAGTCGTCAAAAATCATGCAGCACATAAGAAGCAAACAGCTACGGAAAAAATGGCTACAGAATCATCTGGCATTGAGTGTTGAGATCACGTGTTGAACTTCACTTCCTCCAAGACATTCCCTTCCACGGTAGAAAACGCACATCTGGAATTATTCACGCTTTGATGTGAGCATGGCACTACCGGAGAAAAGCGATCGTTACTGTCTCTATCTATCGTCCATTATGAATTCATACTAGAAGCGAAACAGGAAGTTCGAAGCTTCTTTGAACATCATAAACATTTCCACGTAGGGTAGTAAAGAAAAGTCATTACTCGTAAACAGATAATGAAGGAACATCTAAATTCTTTTGCTAAAGAAGCGCCGAAACAGGAATTCTCTGAGAACACTAACTGAGCAGAATGTTACTGAAGTTCAGCGGTTATAGATCATGAGAGATATAGCCTAAGTGGTTCTTCACAAACCTTTGTTTCTGATTCCCTTGTCGGGATAGTTACAAGGTACTGTCACGAGTGGAACTGCCCGCGTGTTGTTCACGTGGGACCTCAAAAAGTACTCAACGTGCTGTTACAAGTGGGACTAGATAGAAAAGCTAAAATTTGAGAAAATACTCCTCTGGGTGCATATGAGCACAAAAGCACAATGGCGACGATTTTGAAGTGACCGCCCGAATCCCAGTGCATGAATCAAAAACATAAACGCGCAAAACTCTTGAGCGTTTCGGATAAGTTTCAAAAATCCAAATATGAACGGAAAATTACAACGTAGTTGCATTTAATACATATGGAAATATTATATTAAATAAGATCGCCCACCTGCCCATCTGCTACTGCTCGTAGTGGGAATACGGGTTTTACCGTCAAGTAAGACTGATCAAGTCGTCGTACTTCACACGGTATTGGTGTATGAGTTCTTTGAATTCGACAATCAAGCGTTGCAACATCTCTTTCTGAAATAATAGGCCATAATAAACTTCTTTCAGAATGAAAACGTTGAGAAATGAAAACAATAGCAGTCAACATATGATATCTATAATTTGAAACGAACGCCTACGTATGTGCCGGATGAAGCAACTAAGTAGGAAGTATGTTTTCAGTTAGCTCCATCCACACAAGTCTTTCTTTGTTGCTTCAGTACCTAGTTCTCAATCACCATTCATCAATAAAACAACCAATCTCAACCACGATCACTGTTCTTTGATCTCATTAGGTCCACTTTTTAAATCTTCCAATTTAACCGTTACTACCCTTACTTATACTCTACTCGCAATCTACTGTCCTATGACTTTGTCTATCTTCTTCCAAACAATTTTCAGACTACTACCATGAATTCCTCCTAACGGTTTATCGCCCCATCGTGGGTAAGAGGTGTTCCTGGATGTCGAGCTGTGATGTACAGCGGGGGATTCATCCCTCGGAAGGCTCACAAGGTGAGGAGTCCGGCGTTTCCATCAACAAATCCAGCTAAGAGTAAACCAATACAAGGATCCACCACCGTTTTGGTGCCAAACTAGTTCCAGGGTGATAAACCTCTCTCTGATGCACAAAGGCGGCGACTGTCTATGGTGGTGGCGACCTGGGGCACACTTTGACCAGGCTGACTTTGGAGTCCAAGGAAACACCATGGCTAAACCAGCAAAACTCCGAAAAGTGGAGATTATGCTGAGCGCACAATCTGTGAGGGGGGGGGGTGGGGGCGTCCAAGTACTCAAGTAAGTAAATATCATGAATTTTACCTGACAACGGGTTCTCATCTATCCATTGAGGTTCAAGAACACAAAAAGCTGTGGCATACAGGCACGGATGATAGGAACCTTCACACTGAAAGTTAGCTATTTTAATTAACGCTGAACAGTGTAGCGTTCTCTGCATCGATGACCTGTAATCATTCAGTTGCAAAGTATGCGACGCATTTTGAAGTAACAGATAAAATCTGACCAAAAATGGCAACATATTCTACGCATATGTGGCATCGTGGCTGTTTTTCTTTCTTCAGATTGCTTTATACTTGATATATGCAGTAATCATATTAATACAAACGTACATTAGTGCGCAAACACGTAAGCAGGTTGTATTCTGCACGTTTAACCGATCAAAAGCCTGAAACCAAATGACTGGGAGGTAAATGAGATGCGATCCTAGGTTGACCCAAAGAGACAATTCCTATCTAATACCAGGAATCCCCGATAAGCTACCCAAGAGCATCTCTGACATCCAGCTCAAGGCTTGGTGAAATACCCGTGCCCTCGCTTCAAATGCAATGTAGTAAAGTGCGCCATATAACGATAAGATAGTTCTATGTCTCTACAGTGAGCTGGACCTACTGAGCAATTTTGGCATGTGAAACCGTCAAAGAGTGAAAAAGAATGAAAAATCTGGCCAAATCCAATGCCAGTGAATCACAGTGTTACTGCATACAAGTGGACTGTACTACACTATCGAATTTGTGCAACGATCAAAATGAAGAAGAATGCCTGCAAAATAGATGATCTTACCGCATAAACTGTGTCCTTTTCTGCATCTATCTGTGCCACAAAATAACCTAGATGACAACCCTGAACTGCTATACGCTTCCCAAGAGTGAAATGATGAACACCATTGTGATGCCCAAGGAACTTTCCTTCCAAAGTGATAATTTTTCCAGGACGAGGTTCGATATACTAAATTGAAACTCATATTTAGAAGTAAAAACGGTGGCTGCGGAAAATATGTGTACCTGATCAATAAAACTATCAAAGTTTCTCCGCTTGCCAACGAAGCATATACCCATACTCTACAATTTAAAACAATACACTGAAATTCCAACTTACTATGAAAGGGAAACATTCAAACACTGAATTTCTATCTTACTATAAGATGGAAACAATCACCTCAGGTTTACCAGCAACTCTACCTAGTCCCTGTTCTCGTGCTATATGTCGGACCTGCGTTTTTGTCAGTGACCCGATTGGAAACAACGCACGTCTCAACTGCTTCTGTTGAAGAGTGCACAGAAACGGTGTCTGATCCTTCAGTGGGTCAGCACTACATAGAAGTTTTACACCTTATAAATAGTTTATTATTAGCATCATATGACCACAAGAATGTAATCTTCGAGGGATGAGAGGCTTTAGCACTCCACTAACCTGAATCCATGCCTTGAGTAGCCTCAGGATCCCAGGATGTGCTCGCGTAATGTCCAGTTGCTACTAAATCTACTCCTAGTTTATCAATAGCGTGGTTGTGCAGGCGCTCGAATTTGATTTCCCTGTTGCACATGACATCCGGCACAACTGTACGGCCACGACGATAGTTTTCTAGCGTTTTCCTAGTATAAAAGGATAAAGCATATAGGTCTTGGCGCTAATCAATTCCTCAGGGATGCGCCATGCAGTCGACTTAATTAAGGATAGTTTGGAGGTAAATGAATGCATATCTAGCCTTTACAATGACTCGCGGTAGCCCGCCGATATGTCGAACCAGTGCTGCTATCCTCACAAAGGAATCTGCTACCAATTTGCCGACCACGGAGTGATGGAGGACTTTGCGTAGCTGAGGCGTAGGGATCAACCTCCTGTGTACTGCAGGCTGGCTCCGACCACTGCGCTATACGAGCTCCCTTTTCCTGATATAACATGAACATACCGTTGACTTTTCCACAGAATATATTCAGTCTCACAGGAGTGTACTTTCAAAACCAAATCTTAAAATAGACTATTGTCGATCCCTAGAACTATAGCCACTTATAAATTTTCACATTCAATCAGCTCCTCAGCGTCAAAATTATCTCTTTCCTCCCAAAACTCGCAAAACTGCCGTAAGTGGATCAACATACCAAGAAATTACTTACATGAATACCTCGTTCCAATACTCTTTCACAAAGTTCACTGTAGCAAATGGGATATGCAATTTTTCGCACACATATCTGGCATCGGCTTCATCTTTTGTCCTTGGGCAAATGGAATTGCCCTCTTCAATATGGTCCCAGTTGTTCTATAGAACAGAACATTTAAGCATAAGACTTCTTTTCAAAGACAGTAAAACCAGGAACCTGTTAGCAGACCGACTACTACTCCTAATAATAAAACAATTTGGAGACAACATTACAAAATCAGAAGATTCTGATAGTAGCTAAAGCCAAACATTGACACAGGCATAAGATACTACTCCTAAAAAGGATGTAACTTAGAAACCACACCATGTAAACTCCAATGACGTCGAAACCTCTCTTTTTCAAAAGCCATGTCGCGACTGCACTGTCAACTCCACCAGATAACCCGACAGCTACTCGTAACCATCGTTGCATTTTTATCTGGACCTGGACAAGTATTTACTCAGTAACCACAGAGAACTGTTATACAAAATTTTGCAAAAAACCTGGCATTCCCACATAAACGAAAAACAAAAGTCATAAGATAAGCTAGAGCCATATTTATTACTTGTCTAACAACCCGTGCGTCATATGATCAACGTGAGAAGCCTAAAAGTCTAAGTAAGTCATTCCAAATAAAAATCAATACTAAAACACATTGCAAAGTAATCCCGGATAACGGTGACAACGTAGAGAAAAACGGATCCTATTAAAATCTGAACGTCTATACGAAAACATACACATATACCTACGTCATAGAACAATCACTTTTTGTTGTCCATTCCTTCAGTCTTCGATTTCGCTTCCGCTATAGCCTTCTTAGTTTGTTTGTTTAACTAAATATTTTCCGTAAGTTGAAAACGATTGCGTAAAGCAACCCAATCAACCCAATCTAGTTTTATGAAAAAAACTGTAGGCGCACCTCTTCCATGCTCTTCATACGAGAAGTCAGTCTATCCCTCTCCATTCGCTGCTGTTCGGATATAGCTTCTTCTAATTGTTTCCGTTCAATATCTTCCAACTAAAGAACCACATTAAGGATTTCAATAAAAAAACATAGCATAGCTAAACTCTGGATCTCTTCTTTGATAAATAAAAGGATTAAAGGATAAAGCTCTCGGCATTGATAAATCCCTTAGTCATGCGCCATGCATTCGACTCAATTAAGCATCGTTTGGAGGTGACTGAATGCATATCTGGCCTTTACAATGACTAACGGTGGCCTACCAATGCAACTAATGAGTGCTGCTACCCTTCCAGACAAGTTTGGCACCAATTTGCCGACTCTAGAGGGGTGGCAGGCTTGGTGAGCCAGGGACGATTGAATCGACCTCATATGTATTGCAGGGCGCCTCCGACCACTGCAACACACTTGCCCATCTTTGATAAGTAGAAGTAAGAAAACTGAATATACCTTATCATAGAGTTCGAGCGCTTTCTTGTTCCGCTGGAAGATTTTGCGAAAACCATCCCTTGTACTATCTAATAGACTAGTTTCGTCAGAAATTCCATGAAGTTTTTCTTGTAGTTGCGCAAGATCGGCCTTTGACACAACCTACAGTGAAGAAAACGTCCAAAGGATTTCACATTTAAACCAAATACAACCAACATCCGTTATGATAATAAAGAATTTGCACTACTTGAATAGTAAAATGCCCCGAAATCAAACGTGGAACTCACCTTCTGATAGTCTTTTCTCACAAATGGTCGGAAGTATTCCCACATATCGTCAAGCTTCTCTTTATCAACCCGTACCACAGCTTTGTGCTTTTCGTAAACAGCACGCGCATCTTCCCTGAAATTACAAAACAACCAAAAAATGAATTCCAGAAGTATGATTGGGCTAAACCATGGGTAAAGTAACGAAGAACGAAATGAAAAGGATTTGTAGCTACCTCGCATTTGGACAAAGGAAACACCTCAAAACCGACTATACACGGTTAGTGCAAAATGAATGGCACGAATTGAACTTGAGTTACAACTTTGGAAACTTATAACATGGCCAAACTAAGGTTTTACTACTAGAAATAATGGCTATCAAAATCTAAACAATCTGCTAATCCATTTATTCCAAGATCGTAGATGTCCGATGTTCCACAAGTGATGACTCATTTGAAGGAAACATCACAGTTGTCAAAATGGTTAGAGAAAAGCATTTCATTATCGACAAGTTTCATAAGTGCACCACGCAAAGAGGGACAAGTGTACCTCAGTGGTTGGAGGAACCCTGCAATACATATGGGATCGCTCCTTGCAACCTAGGCTCACCAAACCTTCTATCCCTCTGGAGACGGCACATTTGTAGCAGACTTGTCTGGGAGAATAGCAGCCCTGAACCGATGCATCGGTAGGCCACTCTTTTAGCACGATTTCATCGAATTTCTAATAATAGTTACTCACTGCGCTGGTTTTGGGAAGAATCAAGGCGTCTCATTAGATGATTCTACATGCTGAACACGAAAAATCCTTCCAAGCACTTCTCTGCTTTAAAAATCTAATTTCGAAAAATGATTAGGGACCTGATATCACTCAAAACTCTGCTTATTTACTCAATTCATGGAACATCCATTGACTGAGCCTTTTGAAATCTTTCAGCTTATTCTAAATAACGAACAACTACTGAATCGCGATGTAGAGCTTTCCCACAAACCCTCAAGTAGTCTTCAGAGAGACAAATTCGATTAGAGACTTCCGATTCACAATCTTAACCGCTTTATTTACTGCCTATTCTTTTTAATGGCAGGGTATATTGCGAAATATAACTTCAATGATGCTGAGATATTTGCAAAACTCCGGACCGCAAGTGTCTGCGGAGGGAAACGAACGCTCTATTATTCTTTCTGGGGGGTAACGCGTTCACCAGTACACCATGTGGGTCCTTCGTTTCGCCTCTCTCTCAGCTAGTTTTATTGATCTTTTGTGATTAGCAATCCCTGGAAAGGACAATAGCGCGTTCCTTCTCCCCGCATACACCTACGGTCCAGAGTTTCGCAAATATCTCAGCATCATTGAAGTTATATTTCACAATGTATACCCTGCCGTTAAAAAGAGTAGGCAGTAAATAATAAGTCAAAATTGTGATTATAACTGCGGCCTCAGCTTAACTGGGTTCGTTGCCGATTTGTGCCCTCGAAATGAATCCCGCAGATGGGTGATTGCTAATGGCAAAAGACCAATAGAACTAGCTGAGAGACACGTGAAACGGAGGACTCGCATGGTGTGGTGATGAACGCATTACTCCCCGGAAAGGGCAACAGCGCGTTCGTTCCCCACCGCAGACACCTGCGGTCCGGAGTTTAGCAAATATCTCAGTATCATTGAACTTAAAACATTTCAATAACTATACTGCTTTACCAAATAGTGTTTCAAGGACACTCGTAAAGAAGCTTGTTGAGACCGCGTTTTAATCTGAATGTGTTTTTTATTAAGCAATTTATGCTTTTCTTTTGTTTTTGAAACATTGCGTAAACTTTAAATAACTTTTTTATTCGTTTTTAAAGATAAAGATGAGGTGGGCCTGACACGTGATGCGTACGAATGGTAGCCGATGGACAAGAGCCGTAAGTGACTGGATTCCACGGGATGCCAAACGTACTGCAGGAAGACCGCCGACTCGATGGTCAGAATTTTTCACGAAAAGCCTAGAGGAAAGATATAATGCTCGAAGATTCCCTAGGGAGAGCAGAACCCACTGAGCTACTCTTTCACGCGACAGGGAAAAATGGAAGATTTAGTGAAGCTTGCTCGAACCACTCGACGATCAATGGGACTACAGGCGATACAGGTGATTCGTTTTTATCACTCGACTCGGTATCTTCAAATGCTAAAAATAGAGGTTTTCAAACTTTTGAGAGAAATCGGCTTTCTTGCATGGTTACCTACTTGAAAGCGTTTTAGAGAAAACCAACATCATCCAAGGAAAAGAGTGTGCCTGTTGTGACACTTTGTAGGCTTTTGAAATAGGTCTGTTCAATAGGTGATAAGCGCATCTTTGGTGTAAAATGTTCATGCAAGAAATATCTCATACATTCCGTACACTGGGTGAAATAAATTTAGATAAAAGTATATTTCGACTACTTAGTGTTTATTAATTATGATCGTCACATTGGAGTCCATTTCTAAAGTCGTTGAAGTAGCCTAGTGGCTCGTACACAAAACAACGTTCATGAGTGGTTATAGCGTATCTCTTAACCTCTGTTAATTGAACTGCCACCATCCGTAAAAGGAAAGATGTATGTAAGTTTCTTCTGAGTTGAAGCCGAGGTGAGGCTGATGGATGCCTCTTTGTTCTCATTCACATTAGTTTCAAGATAATTACAAAGAAAAGCGAAGGAAATCTATGATAGCTTTAGAAAAACAAGCCGGTGTCGTGAGACTGTTTTCTTGACGAGCAAACGAGAGGTGGTTAACAACAAGATTTATTCAATACAATTCTGGCTGAGGTTTCGGCGGCTTCACCTTCCTCAGACCCGTTTTGTTGTCCTTAATTCCTTTCTCAGCCATGTAAAACTCTGTTCGGCCAGTCTCCAATGGCATCAGCCTCAACTTAACTGGATTCATTGCTGATTTGGGCTCCCCAGATCAATCCGACTGACGGGTGATTGCTGATGGCAGAATATCGATAGAACTAGCTGAGAGACAGGCGAAACGAAGGACCCGCATGGTTTGGTGGTGAACGCGTTACTCCACGGAAAGGACAATAGCTCGTTCGTTCTTCACCGCAGACACCTGCGATCCGGAGTTTTGCAAATATCTCAGCATCGCTGAAGTTATGCTTCTGATTCAGTTCATCTTTGTCAACTACTGATAGGGGTCCATGAAATTCTCCGCCATGAAGACTTACTGCCAGTATGAAACCCTCTGAATCACTTGTTGGGCACTTTTTGTGCGGAAACGCCCTTGACCCATGAATTCAAGACATTTCGAGTTTTGGTAACTGCTCTGTCCTAATAAAAATGTATTACGAAACTTACTATTAAGAATTAAGTAAATTTTAAACTGTACACACCTGCAAGGTGAGAAACAAATATTTATCAAGGAAGAAATTTTCAAAATTCATGACGGAAAATTCCGCAACCATTTCAGCACAGGCGAAAGCAGTGAACCTGAGACAGTGAACAAAAGGCTACCAAAATTCTGCACAAAACGTTGCTCTTATTTGTTATGAGCGAAATCTGGTAGGGAATGCCTTGCGTACTAGATAACAGATGTTCCACATAGTTTCCCAAGTTTAAAAGAAAAGGAACACACCTCTGACTGCATTGTTCTGAGATTCTCAATAGTAACAAGGCTGCAGTAAGACAGTTTATATTTAGCTGCTTAAGGAGTAATCGATGATAAAACACACCTCCACTTTTCCGCTGTTGATGGCTTTTGTTCATCATCAAATTCTTGTCGAGCTCGTAAAACCTGTAATAAAGCCGATGTTATATTGAGTATCAAGAAATAATTTAGGAAAACTTTCATTTAACCTCGGAAAATGAACAGTCAGTGGCATTACTGCTTTCCGTCAGTCTAACAATTAACTCGCATCACATAATACTTGAATCACGGGTCCGAAGATGGTGAAAGCCCCGAAACGTTAGCCGAGTTGAAAGTTTCCACAACAACTTCGTGGAGGTTAATGGATACAAGAATACTGTGAGAAAACCAAAGAGCTGGAAAAACTCGCCTCAAGAGCTTCGCGAAACATCAGCTTGTTTCTCGGAATTCGATGCTCTTCCGGTTCGTAAAATCCGTACTCCCAAACAGGATCGTTTCGATGCATCCATTCAGATTCGCGTGTGGGTAGATCTCTACATTACGTTACAATAATTACTATCAAATTGCTCTGAACCTGTCCACTATTTGCTACCACTGCCACGAGATACATCATGTTCAGCAATAAAATTCAGAAAAACCATTTTAGCTTCATTACAAACATGATTATAAATTTTAACCTTGACCAGGAATGCGCTATTCTAAGCATGCCCCCGAAAAATAACCAATACATAGTTGGAAGTACTAGAAATATAGACTTGGACAGTTGGATAGCCGGTCCCCATTGGTTATATAGGCCCCAGCACAACTCCCATTTCTTCAAAGTTTTGATGGTGGTTGTGGTTCATTGCAATCCCGAGGTTAGTCTGCCCAAAATCTGCCCCAGGTCGTAAACATCCCGGCAGATACCGCGCTTGTGGATCAGAGGGAGATTTACCACAACGCGACTAGTTTGATACCAAGACGGTGGCGTATCCTGCTACTGGCTTACTTTTAGCTCGGCTTCCTGACGGAACGTGCCGGGAGGATGAAACCCCCGCTGCGCATCGTAGCTCCACACCCAGGAACACCTCCCAGTCACGATGAGGCGGCAAACCGTTGCGAGGGTTACAAATACATACAATAACCAATTAAAAATTTTTAAATCTTAGTACCTTCCAAAGGAGAGTTGATAAAGTTAAACGAACATATACAACTGAAAAACTATGCACGTACCGCGTAGGCGTCCATCGCTCCACTGGCTCCGTAGAAGAAATCTTGATTTTGTTCATGTTCTCAATCAAAGCCGTTTCCTTTTTGTTGACGAGCTACGAAGGGAAATATATGGCAATAACATCTATTACTGGATAAACTGGATATGAAACGACACCAGAATGAATTTGATTCTCAACTTGATCCTTACTTGATAATTGAATGGCCCGTCCTCACTGGTTGTGCGGACCCCAGCATAATCTCCACTTTTCGGAGATTTGCTGGTTAGGCCATTGTGATTCCCTGGAATCCCGAGGTCAGCCTGGCTAAAGTCCGCCCAGGTCTTCATCACCACGGGCAGTCGCAGCCCTTGTGGATCAGAGAGAGATTTACCACCATGCGACTATGATACCAGGACGGTGGTGGATCCTGGTATTGGTTTACTCTTAGCTAGGCTTCCTGATGGAAACGCCGGACTCCATCTCAGCTTGGGAGACCCTGTGAGGGAATGAATCCTCCGCTGTACATCGCAGTCCAGCGCTAAGGAACACCTCCCAGCCACGATGAGGCAGTAAACCGTTGGGAGGTCATTCTCAACAGCAGCGTTAAATTTAAAGAGCCAGATTGACCTGGTGACTCAGCCATAAAAAAGCTTCCCAAATTGTCCATGTAGAAACTATTAAAGCAATCATACTCATCAGGATCAAGAAGCTTATTAAAATTCAAGTATAATGGATGCGTTGAGTCTTTAGCCAGAAAAATAAAGCACCAGAGTGTTTCTATATGGGTCACATTGGACTACGACGTCACGAAAAGGATAAAGGATAAAGCTGTCTGCGTTGACCAATCCCTGATGGATCCGCCATGCATTCAACTTTATTAAACATCGTTGGAGGTGACTGAATGCATATTTGGGCGAAACTTTTAGCTACGAAACTTTTTTAGAAACTTTCAGTGGTTACTTTTAAAAAAAACACTTACTTAACATGCTCACTATTAGGAAATTAGAACTATGGCAATGAATTTTTTAAAAAAAAGTAACCTAACCTCCTTCACTTTATCATCCTTCAGCGCAGACAGGAAGCGTTTCTCTTCGGTGGGAAGTTTTGGTGCCAAAATTTTTTCACCTTTCTCAATGTCCTCCATCTTTCTGATCGCTTTCTGCTGGAATTTCGCATCCTTTGTCCGTTTGCCGATTACGTTGAATATCCGCTTCATTGCATTCAGTCCTGCAAAATGTGATAAACTCTGCAGTGTGCATATATAAGGACTTCTTATAACGAAGGCATAAATTACGAACATCAGTTGCCCTGAAGTGGAGCGATGGGGACTTTTAAGTAGTGTTGGAAAGTACTTCTAAAGATAAAGATTGGTATAACCTATTACACTCCATCGAATATAAAGCGACGACGGAGCACTATTAAGGAAACGGGGCGCGGTTACCATCCTAGTGTTAGCTGTGATAACAGTTTGCTCAGAATTTTGACGGTCTCATTTAATGACTTTGTAGGATTTTTCTGGATTCTATAATAAAGAATAAAGTATACAGCTTTCGGTGTTGACCATTCCTTGAGGTATTCACCATGTATTCGAGTTAGCCAAGCATCACTAGAGATAATTGAATACATATCTGGCCTGTAGAATGACTTGCCCCACCGATGTATCAACTCAATGTTGCTATCCTCCTAGACAAATCCGGTATCAATTTGTGGACCCTTGAGCGATAGAAGGCTTGAATAGTCTGGGGGTGGGGTCGAACCATAGACCATGAGTGTATACCTCGGCACCTCTAAGCACTGCGCTAGACGCTCTCATGCACTGTAATATGCCCTTTGACTGTTCTACAACATTACTTTGACTATCTATAGCGCTATCTCTACTTTTATGGTTTGGGAATGCTTTTCCTAGCCTCTGCAGCTTCGATCACTGCTGCTGATCTTCTATCTTTAAGATCCTCTTCTTTTATCGCCTGTCTGTATTGTTTGGCAAGTTCGGACGTTAGTTTGCGGTTGCTTGCAGCTCGTTCGATCCCACGCTGGCGTATCAGCTCGACTGTTTCTGGAGAAAGACGTCTCTTGGTGACTTTCGAACTCTCAACTTTCATAGCGCTAACGTGATGTTGAATGAGCCGATCGTATTCTTGGTCGATGTTATCGACAACGGCATCTTTCCAACAGCCGACTAATGAATTGAATAAGTTCCAGTTTACGGTGGTTCTAGGACTTCGGTGTTTGAATTTACCGGCTTTTTCCTCTTTCCTCGAGAAATAGAATCTTGCACGAAGGACACGATGGTCTGATCCCGTGTATAATTTTGGGACAACAGCGATATCAGTTAGGCAAAACCTTCTATTTACTATGATGTGGTCTATTTCGTTATGGTACTCTCCATTGGGAGACTCCCACGTCCAGCGCTGAGGGTGGGGCTTCTGGAATTGCGAGTTACTATGGACGACAAACTCAGACGGCCGCTCGTCCTGTTCGTTCCATTCTAATCCGTGGGTCCCAATATGACGTTCTTCATACGTTCTTCTTATTCCAATCTTGCCGTTGAGATCTCCAATGATGACCTTGAAGAATGTGTGTTCTTCTCTGTAGCACGTCCAAATCCATATAGAACGCTTCGACTTCTTCTTCGTCATAGTTTGATGTCGGCGCGTGAACGATGAAGATTTTCAAAGCCGGAATTGATCCACGTCTTTTTAATCCTAAACGTCTGCTTTGAGTTGTAAGGTGTTCGAATGAATCGATGTTCACGGAAAAACTCGTGTTGACGAGAACGCCGGCGCCGCCGACTCCTCTACTGTCGCATGCTCCGAGGAACAGTTCTTCTCCGGTGTCATGGACGGCGTTGAATGGGTGGCATCGTCTCGTTTCGGCCAGGCCGATGACGTCGTACCTTCTTGCTTGCATGAGCAAGTCCTTTATCGAGGACTCGGATGAAAGTGTACGTGCATTGTAGGTACAGATCGTCACCATAGTTCTTTGTGATCCGGGCAGCTTCCATTGGTCCTGAGATTTTAGCAGCCTCTTCGTTCTCGTCCTACCCAACGCTGCGAAATTGAGGGCTGTTTCGGGGTCAGGGGAATGAGGCCCTTTTTTTTTTTACTGTGTTTAGCCTTTCTGACACCTACGTATGGCTTGCTGGGCTCTGAACGTGCGGGCTGGGTATACTCACGGGCAGGCTTTTAGCCGAATTGGCTCGTAGAATACAATCCGCATAAATTAGAACGCACCCACACATGCATGCATGAATACGCCTAGCAAATACAGAAAGTATGTGCCAAATCAGCACAGCAGAAACAGGGAGTCCGTTCCCTGGATCCACCTGCGTCTCAGGGAAGCAAGGGTCGCTTTTGGTCCGCGATTAAGCCCCTATACGACACCTGGGGACGCCCCACTTAGCCCCGCGACTAACCGTATAGGGACCCCTCATATGAGGGAGGTCCGTGGCCATGATTCCCCTATGATAAGGCTATAAACCATTGAGGACACTTAGCATATTTATATATTCGGTGTCACCATAACTATGGTCTGTAAAAGGGCTAGACGTAATTTGTACAGTACTGTTCTTCATACTGAAGTGTTCTTTTCTCTGCACCCGTTATGATGAATTGTAGCTGTTGTATTGGTTAAATGGATATAGAAAATGTATTCTATGTACATAATTAAGTAGAGGGCGCGTGTAGCGCAGTGGTCAAAAACGTCCTGCAATATACACAGGTTTGATCGCCGCCTCCCAGGCTTACCAAGTCCCCCCATGGCCCGGATTCGCCAACTTGGTGCCATACTTGTCTGTGAGGAAAGGAAAGCAGCACTTGTTCGGTACATCGATCGGCCACCACGAGTCATAACAAAAGCCAGATATGCATTTATTCACCTCCAACGATTGTTATTGAAGTCGAATGCATGGCGTATCATCAGGGATTGATCAACGTCGAGAGTTTTATCCTTTTTATATAATGTAGTTGGACCATGAGTGAGTTTTCCTTCATCACACACACAAAAATGGAAATGTTCCAAGATTACGTATGGATACATAGCGGAACATGGAGCTTAGAAAAAAAGCAGAAGACAGGGAAAAAGTGGAAAGGGTAAAAAATACAAGAGGGAAATTACCAATTAGGTACATTTATTTTTTTAAACGAACCGTCTTTCACGTGAACTGTGTGGATCTCAGCTCTTCTCACATTCGATTCGTATCTTCGCACGCATCATCCTCGAAGGTTTTCCAACTTCTACGGGCTGCTTCAACTGCTCTATGAGTGCTTTGCTTTCATTATGGATGTTTCTGATTACTGATCGAGTGGATTCTTCCTGGATTCTTGAGATAGCCGTCACTCATAGACGGTGTAGAGCGTTTCCACGTGGGCTTCAGAGGGTGATTTTTTCCCAGACAAATCTGGTACCAATTTCCCGATCCCGGAAGGATGAGAAGCTTCATGAGCCCTGAGCGGAATCGAACTAGCACCGTGCTTGTGATGACTGAAATCACTACCGTTCTGCTACGCGTCCCTTCATACTTCCGACTCAATAAAGTACGTAGAAGAAACAATGAAAGTCCAAAAAGTACAAGAAAGGCGGTGGTATATTTGCCGATAGGGCATCACGGCCGTGTGATCCACATTTATTCACAACATACGTGGCCAAAAATTAGGCATGTTGGTGAATGCGTTGAATAATAGTTCTTCCACGTTGAAGTGTTCACGACCTAAAAGCGTCTTTCCGTAAATACAGGGCGAAAAGCTGTGTCATCCTCATAACCTGTCCACCTGTTGATCGCCAAGAGTGCCTAGAGCGCGCACTTGTAAAGTAAACCCACCATTTGTCCTTGTCGCGTGCAAGAGTACCTGCTCGGTTTTGTTTGTTCTGGGAAGTTGGTGAACATCATACTCACCCTATGCGATCTTCGTGAACAATTCTGAGCATCGAGTTGATGATTTTCCTGCTGTGCGCTTGGCAGCATGTTAGGTCGAGTCGCTATGTACTCATAACCATCGGTTATCGTTTGTCCGGTCCACCTGATTTTCGACATTTTGGCGTGCACATTAGCGTCCCTGATCGTTGACGTAGTTCGGAATTTCAGATTCCCTCCCTCACCTGCGTCATAAAGGATACTTCCAGAATCGCCCACAGATGCACATTCAGTAGCGCTCAGTGATGTTCCCTCCTCTTTACGTAGCTATGAGGATTCCCATTCCCACGCCGGCCGTAGGGCAGGAACAGTCATATGTCTGCAGATGTGAGCATGGAGTTGGGTATTTTTAGTCGTGTTCACCATATCTTCGGTGCTCTTGAAAGCATCATAGAGCAGTCGCTCCTTTCTGTTCTGTTCTGGAACCATTCGTTCACCACCTCTTTATTCCGATATACATAGCAATCGGAGATATTTACTTGCCTATTTGTATACTTGGACGGTCCGTCTTCACGAGCTGTGCGGACCCCAGCACATGTGCCATTCGTTCCTTTCTCTCGCAATCGTAGTCCATGTTGGTGTTCTTGTTCGAGCATGGTAGTGCTTTCGAGTCTCATACCGCGATTTGTGAAACAATTGCAGCTGCGGCTAGAGTTGATTAACTTTGTTTACGAACACGTCCGTCCAACGTGTAGGTCGTGCAAGGGGAGGTTTGCATTCTCTTAGAGTCCACTCCACTGTCTTTTCGTCCATCTGTCGTCTGTTGTTCCCATTATGTGACCGGTCCACCTATGTTTCGCTGTCGATGTATATTCTCCAGGATCTCGAAGATGTGACCGGTTTCGAAGGTCAGAGCTTCGAATTCCGGCTACATGTTGAGAGTGCTGGTTATATTTCAGAAGATATCGCTCAAGCACTCTGTGAGTAGTGTGAAGCATCCTTGATAATTCAACGTTTCTGCAGCATAACAGAGCGCTGGGAGGACCGTAGAATCAAAGAGATGAGAGCGGATGTTCGGGTCCTTCAGTTGGCCGGTGGCTTCTTTGAGAGGCCCGAATGCGGCCCAAGCTGCTTTCCTTCTTCTATCTAGTTCCTCGTTCATGTTGTTCTCCATGTTCATTGATCGCCGAAGGTAAACGTACGAGGTGGTCTCTGCAATGAGAAGCCATCCAATTCAATTTTTTCGCCTTCTCACCATGGGTTTTCATGAACTCGCTCTTTTTTCGACTTATGCGAAGTCCGGTCTTTTTGCCCGCTTCGTTGCGCTCGTTGATCACCGCCTCTGCTTCGCTAGTACTTCCTGA